TAAACTGAAACTGGGCAAAAATTAAAATTATCTCCCCATGTTTTTTCCCCCCCCCCCCCCCCCCCCCCTCCGATAGTAAAACGTCGTGGTTAATTATTGGTATTTCAAATGCCGCATTTGGATTCGCATTTCGGCTAAGTCGGCCAGAGGTATAAGCGAACTATGGCTGCGTTCACACAGCAGGTCTTGAGGCTCGTCTGATTTTCTTTAGTTTTTCAGGAATCCTTTTATATTTATTTGTTTGTTTTTGCGTGGCCAGTCATATAACTAATTAGAGTTTAGGTTCATAGCCCCAGGCCCGACCAAAAAATTACTTTCGTGATGTGGAATTGGGCTTCTGTTATGTGGAATAAGCCTAAAATCTGTACAGCACGGAGAAAACAAAACGAAAATGTTTCATGTGAAGTTGCTTCAATCTACTTATTGCAGTCTAAACAGAGGAGTATCCTGTTGCCTAACAAGTGCAACATGCCACAAAACTGAATGTGTAAACTACGTACATTAATAAGATAAAGAAAAACATTAAAATTTTAAACTGAGGTGAACACAATATTGTGGGAATTCCGAATCGTTACATTATTATTTTTTTTAAAGAGAACCCATCATATGAATAGAAAAAGTTACAATTATCTCAAGTAGTTGTGACACAATGTTTTTTTTTTAAAAAAAAGACAAGTGCAACGCAATTACATTGATGAAACCATGACACTTGACTCCCCATACAGACGATACATTAGATCTGCTGAATTGTTTCCATTCTGAGACTACTCTAACACGCTAAATTATTTCATTCTTTAACAAAGTATATAATTCCAAGTTGTACACATCTGATTACATCAACTAGTAAAATGGAAAAACTGGCTCTAAAGAACAAAGTTTTTGAAACAAGATGGAATCAATTTTATTACACCAACCATACGTTTTTCACAAATCTGGGCCTTAAAACATATTTAACTTATAAAAATGTTTGACCCCTCAAACCTGGTGTAAAAGCAAATGCTGCCAGCACATCTGTTGCCATCCAAGCTCAGAACTAAAAAAAGAAAATAAAAAAAAACGTGAAAAGCTGAACTTAAATAGAAGCGATCCTCTTCTTTCCACGACAGCAGCACAAGGGGATTATGGTTAAGCACGGCATATCCATGCCACCTTTAAATAACAGGCTCACTTGTCTCAACATGCTCTAGTTTCTAGGGTTTCCTCTGGTCTATGTGACCATGTGTCCAGTCATTGTCTGCACACACACACACACACACACACACACACAGAGAGAGCCACCAGTCACAGCAAATGGACACACAGCCGGCTCCCGATTTTTATCTCGTTACAGCAAATGATCCTTTTTGACCGAATTAGCGTCTAGTGATCAACAAGAAGGTTCGCTTCCCGTTGCGTGAGCTACAGTAACAGAATACAGTAAAGGCTTTGAACTCCCCAGGCTGCCAGCAGCCGCTCATTCTGGGTCGGCCGCTGGAAGTGTGATATGCCACGCAGCGCATGTCAGAGGGGTAGAGTTAATGCAGGGTGTGGGGAGGTATTCTTAGCCCTGATGACAGCGCACACCACTGAATCCACTCACGCCTCTTCATGGGTGCCTTGGCTCCAATAAACGGCTATTTTTTTTCCCCTGTTGTAGTCTGGATCATTTCTACCCCCCTCTCCCCTTTTTTCCTCTACATACTAGGATTTTTATTTATTTTTCTTTTACAAAACTCTTTGCTTTCTGCAAGATTAACTCCGATTTGTAGTTTGCATTGCAAAAGAGCCGTTCCGTCAGAGCGTAGTGGTGATGTTAGACGTGCAGAGCGATCAGGTGTTGGTAGTATTTTGAATGCCATTCATGATATCGTATGAGGGTATATTTTTAGAGAAGTAAGGCAAGACATGCATGCCCCTGAATGTCCTCGGTACCCGCTGGTGGTGATGGGAAGAAATTAACGTGAGCATAATTTGACTTTTTGACGGATCATTTTGCACGTGATTTAATAGATGAAAAGTAGAAACACAAATCAGCTGCTGGGAGAACAACTGTACTGTGAACGATAAAAAAACCATAGTTTGGTTTCAAGAAAAGCTGCGGTTGTGCTTCTGTAGTCTCTGTCTGTGAGAGCCGGCTTTAAACACGCAGCTCAGAGTCGTTTTTCCGAGGAGAGTTGCTGTTGTCAGGTGTCGTCTTCGAGAACGTCCGGGTGTTCCTCCCAGAACTGGTCCCCGATAATGTCGCAGTAGTAGGCCTCCACCTTCCTCCTGCTCCGTGTGACAGGAACCTGCTGCTCCTCCTCATTCGGTCGCTTTATGCGCTTGCTAACCGTCTCGTTCCGCTACACGGCAGAGAAATGAGACAGACGTTAGAGACAATCGGGGCCTTTGCTTTTATATTTCTTATGTTGCTTATGCTGAGTCCTGTTTTCCATCTGCAACAGGTTTGAGTTTGTGTGTCTTCGTTATGGTAAAATGTACCCGTTAAGTCAGTTTTGCTCTCTAAAAATGTCAACATTCCAGACTTCTCGGTCTTTATTTAGTCAACTTTAAAGTAAAAGTACAAAGGTTCAAGGTCAAGGAAGGAAGGATGAGGAACAAACAGTTGGACACACAAGCAGATCTTTTAGACTGTGGACTGGAGATGGAATATTTTCAATATTTATCAATATTTTTCATCTTTTTTTGGCTGCATGTGACTTCTAAGATAACAAAAATTGAAAGGAAAGGTGCACTGTCTTCAATGGAGGAAGTAGCTTTGACTCCAAGTGATGACAAATATTCCAATCAATGTGATTATTCCACATAAGCATATTTCCATAACTTCTGAGTTTCACTGAACTTAGACAAAAAACTGTGTCGGAAGCCCTGCTGTTTGTTATTACTAATGAGTTACAGACCAGTTTTTCAGTATTCGACCTGCTTCAGAGCCAGGAAGGCAAAAACTGAGAAATTTCAGAATCAGAGAAAGAAACCAAATTTAGAAATGCAGTAGCTATTAACAATTAAAAACTCATCTTTATTCAGAAAATTTTAACACAGTATAATCCATTTTGTCTTGCTTTTTTAATAACAATTTACAATGTTCTAATATTTTAGTCTTTCTGATTTATTTAATCTTTTTGTACAGTACTTTGCTTATCCTGATGCTATCTTTAAAGCACTTCATAAATAAACTGAAGCTGAACTTGTAAGCATTGTTTAAAAAAACAGTCTATTTAGTGAAACTTGTTCTTGTTATGAATTTATATTTAAAGAACTACAGTTCATCAATGAAATAAGCTTGCCTGTGATAACATTTCAAAATACATTCACAGAAACAAGATTCTTTTTTTTTGTTGTTGCATCAAATAAACAATCAACATCACAAACAGAATATTTCAGCGTTAACACGAATATTTTCTTACTTCTAAAAATGGTAAAAATGGCATATTTATAGAGATCAGTCTGTTTAAGATACGGGGAGAATACTCATTTGGTCCAGACTGTGTTCAAATGCACAGACCTGTGAAAAAAAAACCTCTAATGTCTTTATGCTTAGCATGCATAAACCCTCAACTAGTACGTGACCATATAAGCTAATTATGAATACTGAGTGGCTGAAGTGGAAGTGATTAGTAGCCTGAAAATAAAATTCTGAATAATTTTTAAGGACTGATGTCAGTTTCCTGACAACCAAATAAACATGAGACAAAAATTGAGAAGTGAATAATCTGAGAATGAATCAGGAAATATATCTCTACATAACTTTATAAGTCATGTAAAAAATTCAAGCAGTTGAATTTTAACAAAATTCAACTGTTAAAAAAACTATAGGTACTATAGGGATAAACCTGTGATGTTTGCACAATTCTGCATACAGAGAATTGTGAGTCTTCATTTTATCTATTCAACTAAATGTAAGCATAATATTAACCGACTTCCTCTTTAACCACTTCATAAACCTCAGAGCTGTAAAGAGTGACACAGCAGAGTTAATCTGGTCACAGTCATATTGCTAAGCTAGTGTTAGCAGTTTTAACATAGAAAAAATAACAATAAACATGGATTATCCAAAGTAAATATATTTTTAAACAATTTCTTAAATCAATACATAACACATAATTTTTGTTTTCCTAGCAGAATGAACATGAAACACACCTGCACATCACAACGTTAGCTACATTGCTTAAAAATCTGAATAAGTGAGAGTCCGGCTAAGCCATTACTTAAAAATAAATAAAAGCACTGTGTCACTTCTGAATCAAAGAAACGACTGAGACAGAGAGGAAATGAAAATAAATGTTCAGCTTTAGGATTCGGTAGAAAGAGACAGATAAAGGATCTGAAAATAGAGAAACTGTTAAGATCCGAGTCACAAAGCAGCTTGCAGTTCATATCAAACTGAGCTGGTTGGGCACATGCTTGGAATATCCTCAACAGAGGTTTGCAGAAACTGCGCAGACTTAATCACTCCGGAGTATCTCACCTTTTCCCAAATGAGGGTGGTGCCTTTCCGGTGGACGGCCGATTCGTTGTTATAGTTGATGTCGAATTCTGAGAACAAAATCTCGTTTTTATCTGAAGCTAATGTTCCCTGTTTAAAAAAAAAAAAAAATACAAAAAAAATACAGATATATTAAATTGAGTTCAGCTACTTCTTAATAAAAATACTCATACACAAGAAGCAAGAAGCAAGAATGGGTGTTCACATTACTGGCTGGCACCACCTGCTGGTTGCATTGTGTCAGGGTGTTTCAATTATTCTAGAAGATATTTCAACATATTAAAAGTGATTTAATATGCAGACAATGGGCGTGAGGAGAGTTTTTTTTTTTTTAATAAATAATGAGGTTTCTAGATGCTGTTCTCTGGTTGACTCCCAGTCTGGACTGGAAAATGAAATAAGTTATAAAGAACAGCTGCATCAGTCCCAGGCAGCTGCAGTCATTAAAGTCTATTTGTGTCAATTAATAAGCTATGGAGAGTCTGTTGACATCTAAAACATACTGCGCTTTCCACTACTTAGCCAAATGTTATAACAAAATGTCAAACAGTTCAGGCAGTAAAGTTGTGGCTTAATATAGAAACATTCTCTGTAAAAGAAACCAAATAATAATAATAAAAAAGTTTGGAGCTGCCTTAGAGGATGCATTCCAAAAGCTGCGGACAATTTTTTTCATCAATTAAAAAAATTACAAAATAGTTTAAACAAGACGATTATAAAACAAAACATAAAAAAAAGAAAAGCACATAGAACTATCCCTAACCTAAATCCAATTTAAGTGGAAAGACTTGAAAGTGGAACATGAGATATTTTACACAGAACCGGCCAAAAAAGATCCAGTCTTTATATAATTAAAGATGATAAGTTCATACTTTAAAAGACTCCCAGCTATAATTGCAACACTCTCCAACAGTGTCGACTCAAGGAGGCCGAATATAAACATACGCCACACTATTCAGATGTTAAACTGTGAAAGATTTGAAAATAGCGCATCGTTTTATTTCCACTTTACATTTACGCACTACTTTGTGTTGCTCTGCGATGCAACATTTTGATAAATTGCACTGATGTTTGTAGCTGTAAAAGGACAAAGTACAAATAAAAAGAGTTAAGGAGAATTAAAATTCACAGGTGGTTGATAAAAACAGAAAAGAAATTTTTAAAATTTATTTTAAAAAAATATAATGTAAAAACCTCAATAATTCTTTCATTTGGATTGACTTTTATGTTAATGAAGGGATGATAAACCCAAAGTATTTTAACATATTGTGATCCATTTTGAACATAAATGCCTCCCTCCTTATAGGCTTAGAGACATTCCAAAAGAAGCATAACTTGCCATATCTGGCAACTAGACACACCATGACAATGGAATTAATACATTTATAACTGGTTATAAACTATATTATGTATGCTTAATGTACTAAATATTGTTATTTCTGTCTGAAAATTCATACAATTTCCTCTATACAGAGAAAATGAGCCATCTGCTTTGTTTTGCTCTTACCTTTAATCGATCTTCGGCCTGTGTTGTAGTGAGTCCTCCTTTTTGAATCAATGTCCAAAATACGGTGTTATACAAGTTATTTATATGACCTAGAATATAAGAAACATATATAAATATGTATCCTGTAGATTTATCCACTGAAACACACAAGGATGGACTTACAGTCTGCTTGCCTCCAGCTGAGGTAGTCCCTGAGGTTATGGTTGGTGGGATACAAAACCACCCGCCCATCAAAGCCAGGTGGGTACAGGAGGGGCTGTTCTCCAAAAAACTCCTTCCAGTAAAACACATAGGAAGAGGAAAACTGGGAGGCCACATGAGTCATGAGTTTACTGCAAAACAAGCATGGTGGGAAGAAAGTGAGGCGGAACAGAACCGTCGTGATGTGGACATTTTTACAGGCATGTCAATGAAAGTGAAGTGTACCTGGCTCGTCTTTTGAACCAGGTAGTGGTTCTCTTAAAAACAAAGATGAAATCATCACTTTGACCATAGGCAATGGTAATGTCCTCCAGCTCCTCCATGACAGAGCGGGCGCTCCTGCTCATCAGCCCCAGAGCCCTGTCATCGTTGGGCTTGGCGAACTGGTGCTGCTCTGCAAACCTGAAACAGATTGTAATGTGACAGAACAGTCAAAAACACATTCCAGACATTAGCGTGAGATGACGGAAGAAAACTAACTTGTGGAAGTTGCGACCATCCAGTCGTACGACAATGTAGCAGTTTCTGAGGCAGGTGTCGTCCGTTTCAAAGCTGCGGACGTACTCAAACTTGCTTTTGGCCATAGCGCTGGACCTGGAAAACGGACGCAGAGATGCTGCGGCGAAACAGGACCTTCCTGCTGCAGCAAGTGTTTCTATCAGCATCCAGAGACTGCCGGAGGGGAAAACACACCACAGACGACATGTAGCTATTATTTAAGGATTCTGACATGACAACAAATCTATTTGTTATAAATAGACTAATTTGGTTAAATTTACTGTAACATAACTGCGAAACAGACTCATATTATGAATAGCATTAGATCAGGCAGCAACTTAGCTAATCGTTTATGCGACAATTAAACAAACAGATAAGCTAATGACACAACTGACGTGATAATTTAAGTTTCCTGAAACCCAACCAAATTGATTTGATACCTATTTAATAACAGATATACTAAAATACTGATCCCGTGATAACTCACGTTGCTTTGTGTACAGTCCGTCGACCAAATATGCCGTAGTCCCAGTACCACCTCCAGAACTGCCCTCACAAAGGTTCCGAGTTTAACAATTTTTGGTTTTTAATCAAGCCCCATACGTTATTTGCTGTTTTTTGGAGACATATAACGCAGCCTATATCTGGCGGCGACCTGAACGGATTAATATAATGCGAATGGCAATGAAGTTACCCAAAAGTACGTTATGTTTCCCGTGTTGAACTTTCGAAAGCGCAAGTGGGTGCACACCATTTGTCAACCGCTACAGCAAACGCTGCGCCGAGAAGAGGAACTTTTCACACAATTTATGCCACTCACTTCACGCTGAAATAATAAGTTATTTTGTACGAGAGTTACAATATTTCTGATATCATTCCAAGGATGAAAAATATTTTATTATAAACATTTTATCCAGGCAAAAATAACTCCTCCCACGCCGCTTTATCTTCATTTCTACCCACGTTAAGAAACACAGCCACTGATAATCACGTGTATTGAAGAGCTATGGGATTTGTAGTCCAATTAAAAATCGTTTTTTCTTTTTATTGGTACTTGATTCTTGGGAGATAAAACTGGGCTCAATAAATAACATAATATTGAGGAGGAAATACTCATTATGGTGTCTTTAGGGAAGCAATGGAAATATTGAAGTGTACAGAAAAGGATAAACTCAAGGACAGCGACAACTTTCCCAGGATTCCTCGCTTCATGGCGTTCCGCTTGTTTCAAACATGGAGGAGAGGGAAAGAAAAAGTGCAAGGCCGGACAGTAAACACTCTGCGTTTGGACCGGAGCTGGTACCGGAGGCAGACACAGGAGATGATGAGGCAAATGAATTAAATGTCTGCTCTGAGAAGTTTGACCCGCTGCTGGCCCTGTACTCCCCAGCAGCGCCGCCGCTTCCCTTCCCCAACATCAAGTGCTTCAACAATGTGGCGGAGTACGAGAGCTTCTTGAAGGGCGGCCGGGGCCGAGCAAAGCCAGAGAATGTGGAGAAAAGACAGCGGAAAGCGATGAAGGGGGTGGCAGACCCGGAGCGCATCGAGAGGCTGAAGAAGCTGATGGTCAACAACCCGGTGTCAGAGGAAGGGGACAGCAGCAGCGGCGGCGCGGCGCCGCGGACGAGAAGGAGGCAGAAACCGCTGAAAAATGTCCTGACGAGGATGCCCTGTAGGTTCAGCTGTCACACTGCTGCTACATAACAGCAAAACCAGGATGCGTTCAAGTGCCTTGCAAACAAGGCACGACACGTCCTCTTTAGCTTTTTAACAGCTTATCTCAACCACTATGTTTGGTTTGCTGTGTTTTTTTTTTCTTCCTATTTTGAACACGTAGTTAGAAATTAATTCGCAACATTGTTTCATCCAAAAATCTGAAAAGTGTGGAGTGCGCTTTTCTTCAGGTCAATGGTTGCATAAGCTCTTTCTTAGCAATTCCAGCTCTAAAGATATTTATTTCTCCACCAACTACACAAATGTAGATGCTGTTTGGCCCTTCTTCTCGGTAAAATATGTCAAACTTAGTCGGTTTTGTGAAGTGCATGATTAAAATGTGACGGATTTGTCACTACCCCTACTATATTCGCTGAATATAGTTTAATTCTGGATATTAACAGTTAGGGACGCACTGATATGAAAACTTAGGCAGATCCTGATATTAATATCACTAACATGGCCAATAACCGATATTTATTTTCCTACTTTTTAGATGGTGTAAAATGACCGTTTTGTTGACATTGCTTTTCTGCTTCAGTTTAAACACTCCCATAACCTTGTGCTGCATTACCATCACTGTCACATGACCAAATAAGCACCAAATGACCAATCGCATCTCCTCCATAAACACAAACAGCAGCAAGATGAAAATCATTATTGGGTGTTAATACCGTCCCAGTTTTGTTATTGTACTACAACTAACATGTTAAAAAATGACTAGCATCAGCCAATGTCAATGCCAACATATCGTGCATCACTATTAGCAGTTAAATAAAAAATTGAAACGTGAATCTCTCAGCTTACTCAAGGAGAGATGTTTCTGCGCTTCACCTGAATTCTTTGCATGATTCATGAGTCGGCTGCGTAACCTGCTGCTCACGTGTCTTCAGTGTGTCAGGGCAGTCCTCTGGGGGAGCTGCACCGCTGCGTACAGGAGAGGATCAGAGTCCGAGTTCACATCAGGACCTTTAAAGGCCTGAGGGGCGTGTGCTCTGGCTTCGTCGTCGTCTTCGACAAGTTCTGGAACATGGTGAGAAGACGCCCAATAGTCTGTTCGCTGTACGCTGCATGTCTTTGCACTATATGTTTGTTCATCGCCGGGTGCTGTGTGTGTTTGTCAGGCCATGGTGGATGTCGATGAGACGTACAGAGAGCCTCTACTTGGAGAGGCGTTGTACCACGAGAAGGCCCTCACCGTTTCACGGGTATCCACTTGATGTTTTTTTTTTTCTCCTAACTGAAATAATGCGGGCAAAGGTTCTGTCAAAGCGACGCACATTTTGAGGGTGTTCAGCTGCTGGACGTTTTATTTTGGAGAAAATAAAACGTCCCACTTTTCCATCAGTGCAGCCCCTGGGTTTCCATAGTTCAGATGTTACCGAAGAACCACCATCTTGTTTGACAGCTTCTTCTTTTTTTTCCTTACTGGCTTTTAATTCAAGTCAACTCACAGAGTTTGTTAAGATATTTTCTGTCATTAGTAACTTTTTTAAGGAAAAAAAAAGAAGAAAAAGTATAATTAGTATAACCAAATCATAAATCAGATTTGGTTTAAGAAAAAAACAAATCTGGGATTTTATTTTTAAGCCATAATGTCCCCCCCCCTTCTCCGCTAAGTCTTACACATCTGTAATTTTTCAAGGCAGGGGTGTCCAAAGTGCGGCCCGTGGGCCATTTGTGGCCCTTGCGACGATTTTGTGCGGCCCTAGAACACAGTTAAAAATAGATACAACTTTGCACCAATAGGGCAGGAGCTGGATGCAGGTGTATACTTTCTAAGAAAAAAATAATCTGACAAATCAAAATCATCTTTAAAAGGAAAATGTTGGATAATAACACAAAGTATGTGCACATCTCCTCTGAGCAGCTCCTAAAAAATATCAGCTGAGAAGCTAGGCTTTGCTTCTGTTTAGTCAAAGAAAAAAAAAAATCAAATATTGATAAACAGGCACTAACCTTTCAGATCGGGTGAATATTTGCATGCAGTCGAATCGTGTAGGTGTTCCCCCTACAGTGACGAGTCATTTGAACCCTTCAAATGATCATAACTACACCCAGCAGTGACTATAAACAGGGTCTTTATTTAGAAAGTGTAAAAAAAAACGACCTGATAAAGAAAGTACTTAGCGTGCGAGTTTGATTTCATAAAACCTTTCTAGACGTTTTTTGTTATCGTCTTGCTTTTATTGTCGAGCATTAATGCCACCAAAATCTTCATCCAGCTCTTTGAGAAGCTAAGTCTCCAGGAAACCCTGGAGGGCGGCGAGCCGAGGGAAGACGGCGACGGGACGGCGGAACCCAAGCCGTCAGAGGACGTCGGAAGCAAACGACATAAAGGCGTCGTCTCGGTGAAGGCCCGGGATCCAGCGGCCCAGCAGAAGAAGAAGAAGTACGGGAAGGTGCACACGCGCCACATTAGCCAGCTTTTCATCCGCGGTGAAAACGTGATTCTGGTCAACCCACAGCCTCTCTGATTTCTTTTTGATGTCCGTGACTTGACATGATCAGAGAACAGCTGATCAGAGAACAACCGTGTTGGGTTGTACCGAGCGCACGTTCGACGTTGTGAGACACTGTGATAAGATTCAGATGAATAGAGCACAAGCTGTTGTATCATATTGATATGATGAGCCAGAGAAATGACCATTTTATTGAGAAATAAAAAGCTCCTGAATTCTGGCTGAAGTTTGTTTTTTTTTTGTTTTTTTTGCGTGTGGTCTGTGTTATGGTTTTTACCCAGCAGGTGGCAGCATAAACACACCAGAGCCGCCGGTGAAGCTATTGTCATCTGGTAGGCTGCTTGTCCCTTTATGTTGCTTTTCCCGTTAGTTTGAACAGGAATGACAGCGCAGTCTCAGCGGACTTCATAAATGCATTATGAATAATTGAGTTTGCGAAGCTCGAGATTGCAGATGGCACTCAAAAGCTGTCATTTGTCTTGACGTCTCAGATTGCTTTTTACTCTTTAATGGGCACATTACCCATAAAAGCACAATTTACTGCATCTCGTGGAAGTTGTAAAGATGTTGCAGTTTCCTCCCCCCCCCTCCCACCACCCGCTTTCCTTTTAAATGACAGAGGTTTATTTCGGATGATAAGTGGCACTGAGCGGATGTTTGTCGCGACCGCGTCTGCAGTTCTGCAACTTTTCCTATTTGGGTTTCTCTTTATTTTGTCTGCGGAGATTAATTGACCCTTATTCCGTTTTATTTTCAGTCACAAGTGGGGCACATCCGATCATTAGTTTAGATTTTTGTTCATCTACTGTATATACCGTTACACTTCATGTAATGTATCAGAATATTATTAGTGTAGCCCATTTAACGGGCCTCTCCAGAGAGGGAAAACGGGGTCAATTGTTTAATGCAAGCCGTGTTTGTCACACAAGTGTGCTCAAACAAATCTTGACACAATATAAGAAGGGCACAGCGCTGATTGTAAATTGACCCAAAATTAGATCGAGCTATCTATGTCCTCTGCGTTACACCAGAGAAATCAGGCCGTCCTTCTCGCTACAAGAAACTGGAGTATTTAAACATTTTTTTTTTTAGATTGAAGTTTTAAGTGGAGTTTCTTTTCTAACTGCGTCAATCTTCCACGTGCGGTAATTACACTCAAACCTTTTCCACTTTATGTTATCGTAGATATATTTTTGCAGTTTTATATGTGCTAAAGTAAGGAGAGCATAAACGAGGACTCATGAAAGAAGACTGAGGGACACAGCAGGGAGAAAGTTGTGGAG